GCTTGAAGTTGGGGAGTTTAATCCCCTAGCTTTATTCTTTCTTCTCAAGATTGCTTTGGCTATTTAGGGTCTTTTGTGGTTCTACATGAATTTTAGAACTATTTGCTCTAGTTCATTGAAGAATGCTGTTAGTATTTTGATAGGAATTGCATTGAATCTGTAGATTTCCTTAGGCAGGATGACCATTTTGACAATATTAATTCTTCCTAACCATGAGCACGGGATGAGTTTCCATTTATTGGTATCTTCTTTAATTTCTCTCTTGAGTGTCTTGTGGTTTTCAGAGTATAGGGCTTTCACTTTCTTGGTTAGGTTTATTCATAGGTATTTTATTCTTTTTGCTGCAATTGTGAATGGAATTGTTTTCCTGATTTCTCTTTCTGCTAGTTCATCATTAGTGTATGGGAATGCAACAGATTTCTGTGTATTATTTTGTATCCTGCAACTTTGCTGAATTCAGATATTAGATATAGTAGTTTGGGGGTGAATTCTTTACAGGTTTTTATGTACAATATCATGTCTCTACAAACAGTGACTGTTTAACTTCTTCCTTACCAATCTGGATGCCCTTTATTTCTTTGTGTTGTCTGATTGCCGTGGCTAGGACCTCCAGAACTATATTGAATAAATGTGGGGAGAGTGGGCATCCTTGTCTTGTTCCTGATCTTAAAGGAAAAGCTTTCAGCTTCTCGCTGTTAAGTATGATGTTGCCTGTGGGTTTGTCATATATGACCTTCATTATGTTGAGGTACTTGCCCTCTATACCCATTTTGTTGAGAGTTTTTATCATGAATGGATGTTGAATTTTGTGGAATGCTTTTTCAGCATCTCTGGAGATGATCATGTGGTTTTTGTCCTTCTTTTTGTTGATGTGGTGGATGATGTTGATGGATTTTTGAATATTGTACCATTCTTGCAACCCTGGAATAAATCCTACTTGTTCATGTTGGATGATCTTTTTAATGTATTTTTGTATTTGTTTTTTAATATTTTGTTGAGTATTTTTACATCTGTGTTCATCAGGGATATTGGCCTGTAATTTTCTTTTTTTGTGGTGTCTTTTCCTGGTATTGGTATTAGAGTGATGCTGGCCTCATAGAATGAATTTGGGAGTATTCCCTCCTCTTGTACTTTTTGTAAAACTTTAAAGAAAATGGGTATTAGGTCTTTATTAAATGTTTGGTAGAATTCAGCAATGTAGCCATGTGGTCCAGAGGTTTTGCTCTTAGGTAGTTTTTTGATTACTGATTCAATTTAGTCGCTGGTAATTGGTCTATTCAGATTTTTTGTTTCTTCTTGGATCAGCATCGGAAGGTGGTATTTTTCTAGTAAGTTGTCCATTTCTTCTAGGTTATCCAGTTTGTTAGCATATACTTTTTCATAGTATTCTGTCATAATTCTTTGTATTTCTGTTGTGTCCATAGTGATTTTTCCTTTCTCATTTCTGATTCTGTTTATGTGTGCAGACTCTTTTTTTCTTGATAGATCTGGCTAGGGGTTTATCTATTTTGTTTATTTTCTTGAAAAACCAACTCCTGCTTTCATTGATTCTCTCTTTTGCTTTATGTTTATATTCTCAATTTTATTTAATTCTGCTCTAATCTTGTTATGTCCCTCCTTCTACTGACTTTGGTTCTCACTTGTTCTTCTTTTTCTAGTTTCGTTAATTCTGAGTTCAGACTGTTCATATGGGATTGTTCTTCTTTCCTGAGGTAGGCCTTTATTGCAATATACTTTCCTCTTCGCATGGCCTTTGCTGCATCCCACAGATTGTGGGGTGTTGAATATTGTTGTCATTTTTCTCCATATATTGCTTGATCTCTGTTTTTATTTGGTCTTTGATCCATTGATTATTTAGGAGCATGTTGGGAAGCCTTCATGTGTTTGTGGGCTTGTTTGTTTTCTTTGTGTAATTTATTTCTAGTTTCATATCTTTGTGATCTGAGAAGCTGGTTGGTACAATTTCAACCTTTTTGAATTTACTGAGGCTCTTTTTGTGACCTAGTGTATGATCTTTTCTTGAAAATGTTCCATGTGCACTTGAGAAGAATGAGTATCTGTTGCCTTTGTATGGAGTGTTCTGTAGATGTCTGTTAGGTCCATCTGTTCTAATACATTGTTCAGTGCCTCTGTGTCCTTACTTATTTTCTGTCTCGTTGATCTGTCCTTTGGAGTGTGTGGTGTGTTGAAGTCTAAAATGAATGGACTGCTTTCTCTTTACCCCTTTCATTCTGTTAGTATTTGTCCCACATATTTAGGTGCTCGTACATTGGGTGCAAAGCTATTTATAATGGTTATAAATAGCTTCGGCCCTCCCTATATCATTATGTAATGTAGTTCTTTGTCTCTTATTACTTTCTTTGGTTTGAAATTATTTTGTCTGATAGAAGTACTGCTAGTCCTGCTTTTTTCTCCTTAGTATTTGCATGAAATATCTTTTTCCATCCCTTCACTTTTAGTCTGGTATGATTTTGGGTTTGAAATGAGTCTCTTGTAGGCAGCGTATAGATGGGTCTTGTTTTTTAATCCATTCTGCTACATTATGTCTTTTGATTGGTGCATTCATTCCATTTACATTTAGGATGATTACCGATAGATAAGTACTTGATTGTCATTGTAGGTTTTAAATTTGTGGTTACCAAATGTTGCAGGATATCTTTCTCACTATCTGACAGTCTAACTTTAATCTGTGGTTACTCTATTTCAGACATGATCTAAAGGTACTTTTTTTTCCCTCCCTTCCTTCCTCTTCTTCCTCCTCCACACTTTGTATGTTAGGTGTTATGTTCTGCACTCTGTGTGTCCTTTGACTAAATTTTTGAGTAGTTGATTTAATTTAGTATTTACTCAGTAATTAATTGGTCTACTACCTTTTCTGTGGGTTTACTTTCTCTAGTGACAGTTATTTAGCCTTAGGTACATTTCCATCTAGCACAGTCCCTTTAAGAGATCTTGTAGAAATGGTTTAATGGCAGTGAATTCCCTCAACTTTTGCTTATCTGTAAATTATTGTTTAATCTTTTCTTCAAATTTAAATGATATTCTTACCAGGTTGTATTCTTGGTTGGAGGCCCTTCTGTTTCATTCCATTGAATATGTCATACCACTCCCTTCTGGCCTGTAAGGTTTCTTCTGAGAAGTCTGATGATAGCCTGATGGGATTTCCTTCGTAGGTGATCTTTTCTCTCTCTGGCTGCTTTTAATACTCTGTCCTTGTCCTTGGTCTTTGCCATTTTAATTACTACATGTCTTGGCATTGTCTTCCTGGGGTCCCTTGTGTTGGGAGATCTGTGCACTGCCACAGCCTGAGAGACTATCTCCTTCCCCAGATTGGGGAAGTTTTCAGCAATTACCTCCTCAAAGACATTTTCTATTCCTTTTTCTCTCTCTTTGTCTTCTGGTACCCCTATAATGTGAATAATATTCTGCTTGGATTGGCCACACAGGTCTCTCATTCTTCTTTAATTCCTAGAGATTCTTTTTCTTTCTGTGCCTCTGCTTCTTTGTTTTCCTGTTCTCTAATTTCTATTTCATTTACCTTCTCCTCTACTACATCTAATCTGCTTTTAAATCCTTTCATTTTATGTTTTATTTCAGATTCTGTATTCTTTAGCTCTTAGAGGCTTTTTCTCAAGATTTCTGTCTCTTTGTTGAAGTTCTCCCTTACATCTTGAATATTTTTCTGTACATCTGTATTTTTATTACTTTTATTTTGAAATCTTTATCAAGAAGATTGGTGATTCCACTTTCACTAAGCACCCTTTCTGGTGTTTTTTCTTGTATTTTTGTTTAGACCAAATTACTTTACCTCTTCATTTTTTAAAAATATTTTCTATGAAATGATAGCTTTGTGTAGACGGTGCCCGCTCATACCCAGAGGCTCAGTTTCCTGTGCTGGATCCCCAGCTGTTGGTGTGCACTGGCTGTGGCACCTCTCTGCCTTGCTCTTAGTGGTGTGATCTCAGGTGGGCTGTGTGGGCCATCAGCTGATTGCATGAGCAGGGAGAATACTCTCCAGAGCTGCTGAGGTTGGTGCTGCCCTCCCTCTGGCTGCTGCAATGGTGAGCCGCAGGAGAGCGGGTCTAGTGCCTGGAGGAAAGAGCTTGGTTGGGAGGCTTTCCTGCCTTCCCAGCTATAACACCTGCCTCACCTGCCTCCCCTGTCAGGGCAACTGGGCCCTGCACAGAGGGAGAATCCTTATTGCTGTGCGTTTGTGGCTGCCATGGGTGGAGCCACCCTCTGGTCTTCCTGCCGTGATGGTAGGGGTGGCAGATGATCAGCACTGGCACCTGCCTGGAGGAGTGAGCAGCAGGCTGTGCACCACAGGAGAGAGCCTCGGGGCTGTGTTGCCAGCCAGGAGGATGGAGCATCTGAAGCTCCCGAGAGTTCCCATCCTGCTGGGCTGAGCAGGCTTGGGAAGGTCTTGTTCATCTGCCCTTTCTCCTGAGCAAAGAGCTCTGTGTATTCTTTGCCTTTCTAGTGCCCCTTTCACTGCTGTGAAGTCACTCAAACTGACAACTTTTCTTTTGTCTCGGGAACTGGTAGTGTGTCCCTGTTCTCCACAAGCAGTTGGAATCACAGCCTCTCCAAGTATTCCTTCCATCTTTGCTTTTCAACCCCATTAATCTCCAGAGCACCATGTAATGTGGGTTTGTGTTCATGGAGCAGATCTCCAGGGCCAGGAGTTCAGGGGTCCTGGGCTTCTATTCCCTCCCCTCTCTGCTCCTCTTCCTCTCACCTGTTGGTTGGGTTGAGAACAGAATTGCCACTGGATTGTGGCATTGCCACTTTACCCTTTTCTGTGAGGTCTTCTCTTCTTCCAAGATGTAGACAGACTCTTCTGCAGTCTTCAGATCATTTTCCAGATTAATTGTATTTGCTGTATTTTCATGTTCTGTGTGATTTTGGGAGGAGGTTTCTTCCTGTCTTCTTAACACTGCCATTTTTCTCCCAGAATCCCTTTAAAATTACTCTTAAAAATTTGGGAATAAATTTTGCAGAAAGAAGTTCTACCACAAGGTGACTGCAGCAGAGTCCTGGAACTGCTGCTTGACTACAGTCAGAGTCCTGCGTCCCTTGGATCCTCTCCGTATTCGTCAAGGTTGGAGTGTCCCTTAGGTGTTGTGTTTGGACCCCTGTCCTGGGTCTGTGACCTCCTGTTTGTCTGCACTGTGATGTAGTATAGGTTAAGAAATAAGGAAACTAATATCCACTGTGTGATAAGCACATAGTGTATTTCACTAAAATTAACACATCCAGTTTTTAGAAGCCTGTGAAATGGGCCTACATTTCCACAAATGAGAAAAACTTAGGAGACTTGCCCAGAGTCAGATGCTCATTGACAGAACCGTACACAAGTGTTTGGCTATTACATCAATTCTAGACCTTTCTCCCTTCTCACATCCATACTTATTTGTTATGGAAAGATGCACATCAGCAAGATACTCTTTTTAACCTGTATCTTAAACTTTTGAAAATTTTGAAATAATTATAAGCCCTCAGAAGGTACAAAAATATTACTTGCAGTCCTGTATATCCTTCACCCAGATTCCCTCCATGGTTACATACTATATAACTCTAGAATAATATCAAAACCAGGAAATTGACATTGGTACAATACTGTTACTTAGACTACAGAACTTTCACCTTTCATTCAACCTGTATTCGTGTGTGTGTGTTGTGTAGTTGTGTGCAGTTTTATCCCATGTGTAGACTTGAAGAGACATCATCACAATCAAGGTATAGAATTGTTCCATCACTATACTCTTTTATGTTTGCACCCTCCCCAACCCCCAATTTACTGGAAACCACTAATCTTTTCTACATACCTATAGTTTTATCATTTCAAGAATGTTATATAAATGGAATTTTTGAGACTTGACAGTTTTAGCTAAGCATGATGCCCTTGAACTCTACCCAGGCTGTTGTGTATATCAATAGTTTGTTCCTATTTATTACTGATTCGTTTTTCATGGTATGTATGAATACAGCACAGTTTTTAAAATCATTCTCCCACTAAAGGACATCTGAGTTGTATTTAGTGTTTGCTATTATGAAAAAGCTGTTGTGAATATTTGTGTACATGTTTTGTGTGGATACCAGTTTCAGTTCTGTGGGATAAACTGCTGGGTGACATGGGAAGTGCATGTTCAGTTTTGTAAGAAACTACTAGACTAATTTCCAGAGTGGCTATACTATTTTACATTCCCACCAGCAATATGTATGAGATTCCCACATCTTCATCCATGTTTGGTGTTGTCAGTTTATTTTTATCTTTATTTTTCTGTTTCGTAGGTGTGGTGATAATTCATTGTGGTTTAATTTTCATTTCCTCAACAGCTCATGTGTCAAACATCTTTTCATGTACTTATTTGTTGTCTTTCTCCATCTGTAGCTATCTTTTGCCTACTTCCTAATTGGATCATTACTGTTTCTACTGTTCAGTTTTGAGAGTTGTTTACATATCCTGTGATGTAAGACTTCTGGTATGTGGTTTGCAGATACTTGCTTCGTCTATCCTGTGCCTTTTAAATGTGTAACAATTTTCCATTTCCTAGGGGTTCTGATCTTCCTTGTGGAGATGGCTCCTACCTTTTTAACTCCAGGAAACTACCTTGTGCTCTTCGCCATCAAAGAAGTTGTTATCAAACTTCCTGGATTTTTATTAGAAAAGAAATAGCGTTTTCCCACCCTCTCTGCACTCGCTGTTCAAGAGATTCCGACACTTCCTCTGAGGGTATCTTTCTGCAGCCCTTTTGTTTATGGTGATAAGATTATATCCACCGATATGGCCAGCTCTTGTGAACTTTTGGATCTCCTTTCTATGAAGTTAGCCTCTTTCAGTGTTTACTGAGAATAAACATTAAAATCATTTTGTGACTTCTTAACATCATTGGGGTTCCTTTTGTCTCTCTTTTTTTGTTATGGCTCTGTGGACATCTGTGTTTTATTGTTTTTTTTTTTTTTGCCATTTGAGTGTTAAAATGGTTCTGATAACCTTCTGAGTTGAAGCTTTGTCAAGAATTCAGGGCTGAAGTTCTTTCTGTTCAAAATCTGTTGGGTTCTGTTATCATTATTGAAGGGCTAACTGCTCTCAAGCCCTTGCCTCTCTCTCAGTCTGAGAGATGTGAAGATAAATGAAAACTGGAATTTTTCAGGTAAACCTCTACCTCGTGAGGACCTGCTAGGTGCCAGGCTTTGTAGGCAAGAATGACTTCTATAAAGGGATTCAGGAAAGAGCATTTACTCTTCCAGTTCCTGGCGATTATTTTCCTTTATTATCATGCTCATGAGTGTACGTCAGTACTGTGGATGGAGTAGTAGAAAAGTTAAGCCACATACATGGTCTTGTCAAATGACATAGTTGATTGATAACAGATTCAGGACAAGAACCTGAATGTTCTACTTTTTGGTACAGTATTAGTCTGAAACCCAAAAAGTCAACGTGTTTTGTCATTCTTTACTTTTTCACAAAGAGACCTTTTTTCCCACAACACAAAAAGATAGCTAATTGGAATTAAACATTCTAAAAGATTCCAAATAATAATTTGAAATACTAGAATTTTCAAACTATCAGAATTTTTATAAATCAATTAAAATTAATGCTAAGCCAAACAAACATACCTCCTCAACATTGTATGATTTGGTACATAGAAAACTTTCTAGTTCTGTTTTGTCTTCATTTTTAGGTCACCTCACAATCAATGTAAGTTGCTAGGTAGTCACGCTATCATGGGACTATAGTTTACTATGTTGTAATTAGCTTTGGTGACGGGAAACCCAAAGGCAGTGTGGCGGAGGGGGAGGCTTCTGTGTGCTGCCCCTGGGTAGAACATAGGAAAACCTGGTTCTATCTGCAGTGGATTCCTCCTCTTGCCAAAGGAACAATAGACAACATTTATAAAAATAAGGTCTTTGTGAGCATTGGCAGGGTGCTCAATTTTGTGCCTTTTCCTTTATAATAGTCATAAAAACATACTAAGACCTATGCAGAGATAAGAAATAGGGAAATCACTAGTGTGAGTAGACAGGAAATTGTTATCATCATTAAGACACTGGATATGGTCATTAAATATATTGGATCACTAGGAGAGAAAAGATGTTTTAATACTAGCCAAGAAAGGATTATAGTTAGCCACAAGCTATAGTAAAGTACTTCCAATTCTGAAATACCCTATTTTTGTATTCCTAATTTCCTCAGAAGTGGGCATTTCAGTATTGATACTTAGAAAGTTTTCTACTGAATGAAATGATCATTTCCTCCAAATTACACATGAAAATTATCTGTTCATATTGTGTATTTTGACTTACTACCCTCATCTCTGAAATGTTTGTTCTCTCACTCAGATTATGGACAACTTGAGTATTCCTTTCTGATGGTATTTCTGATTTCTGATAAATGAGCCCTGAGTATACCCAGAAAGGCTTGTAAATCTCTGTGGCTCTTCTTCTGTGTACACTGTGAAATACAGATATGTAAAATGTCCATGCTGTTGGTCTCCGCCCTCCCGCCAGGGCGGGTCTGTCGGCTTTCCGGCTGTCTGGTCGTCCCCCCTTCTCCCCGTTGCTCTGCGGTCCCTCCTGCTGCGTGCCCTCCCGCCCTCCCGGGCCGGCCTCCACAGGCTTTCCCCCCATCCTGGGATCACACCAGGCTCCTTCCTGCCTCTGTGCCTTTGTGCGTACTGTGTGTGAGCTGGCAAGAATGCTGCCCCTGGGTTCCTGCAAACTGACTCCTCATGGCTTTCACAGGCTACCTCCTCAGAAGAAGCCATCCCTGAGCGCCCTGTATGCCCAGAGTGCCCTGTGCTGCCTGTCACAGGCCTCTCGAGCACTTCCCTCCCAGTGCTTCCTCGTACGCATTCCTGCCACTAGAATACACAACTGTGAAGGTACAGACATAATGAGCTCTGAAATATTTGATTGATCAATGATTGAACAAGTTAATGAAAAAAAAACCAGCACCAAGTTCCTGAAGGCTTCCTGGAATAAGGTATTTGAGCTGAATTTGAGAAGTGGCCTGTGCGTAGATGGCAGGGGTTAGAAAAATAAGAGTTTGAGAAGAGAGGTTTGTGTAGGGGAATGGTGATAAAAAAAGTGATCTTTGGAATGGAGGTGGTCTGTGCATGTCTGTGCTGGGCTACAGAGGGAAATAGGGGTAAGTAGAGAGTGAGCTTTGGGGAACTAGGAAAAACTTTTAACTAGGGGAGGAAGGACATGATCACAATGGCAACAGTGTGGTGTCTGGTAGATGAGTAAGTGCGTTCAGTAATTGCTAAGGAGTAAGAATCTCCACACCCCGCTTCCTGTCCTTTGATGTTTTGCTTCATCAGTGACTAAGGTCATTAATGCACCAGAGTGAAACAGAATATAAGTAATATCTGGAATTGCTTTGGTTGTTAGCAGGTATTTACTGGTTCCAGCCGTATCAGGCATTGTACCTGCTCTGCCTGGGCTGTGAAGACTAGTGCACAGGTACTTGGCAGTGTTGGTTTTGCGTAGCTAAAATGAGACCCAGTTTAGCTACTGACACTTGAGCCAGCAAAGACAAGTCTTGTCTGGCAAATACCTTAAATAGGAGGAGATGTAGTTAATAAGTGTAATCAATTTGTTTATTACTCTGCAGAGTAATAATTATATATTTGGAAGCAACCACAGATAGGAAACGTAACTATTGAAATGTGTGCCTCTTTTAAGAAACTCTGAGAGCTGCATGGACGCATATGCTGTTTTCTTGTCAGTTTTGCTTCTAACACATCATTTGCTCTCCGGAGACCCGATTTCCTTCTTCATACATAACATACGCCAGCTGTTAACATCTTTAGATTACTTATATTACAAATTTTACCTTGTTGTGAAACTGAACTGAAGTACAGTGGCTGGCTTCAAACTTTTTGCATTTATTTACAAAACAATTGTAGTAAATAATTCAGTCAGCAAAGATATTGTTTTGCTTAAAAAGTGGCATATTTTAGTCTTGAAACTAGTTCATGTTGTTATTGACACAGAAAAAGGAAATGATAAGAGTTTCTTTTTGTGGGAGGAGGTGGTTTTTCCTCCCCCCCCAGAATATCAGTGCTCTGCGCTGTTGCTTATTGATAGGGA